GATCAGACAACAACGTTGCAGACACCTTTTCTCGGGTTGAAACCATGCATCCGCCAGCAGTTATCGACTACGATGAGTTATCACGCGCACAGGCCTCGGACGAAGAGCTGCAAAACCTACTTGCGCGCAACGAAACGTCGTTAAGATTTCAAACTTTAACCTTCGGCCCTAATGCTCAAGCTGTACACTGTGACGTTTCGACCAACAACATCAGACCATTTGTACCGGCGCTGCTACGTCGAAAAATTTACGAAGCACTACACAATCTTGCACACCCCAGCGGCAGAGCCACAGTTAAAATCATAGCTCAGCGGTATGTGTGGCCGGCTATGAATAAAGATATTACACAGTGGGCTCGCGAGTGTCTTCCATGCCAGCGCTCTAAAGTGGGTCGCCATGTACATCCAACACCTGCCGCATTCCCTAGCCCAGATGAGAGATTCGACCATGTCCATTTGGATCTAGTCGGACCTTTGCCTGAATCTCAAGGCTTTAGGTATTGTATGACAATGGTCGATCGCTTCACAAAATGGCCCGAAGCAGTACCCATTAAAGACGTCACGGCAAACACGGTTGCCAATACATTCTATTCTCATTGGATTGCGCGCTACGGATGCCCCAAACTGCTCACCACTGATCAAGGCACACAATTTGAAAGTGCGCTCTTTTCGGCTCTTTCGCGTTTAGTGGGCGGCAAACGCATTCGCACGACGGCATATCACCCCGCAGCAAACGGGTTGGTAGAAAGATGGCACCGCACGCTGAAAGCGGCAATCATGTGCCACCAAATTCCACAATGGACTCAGGTCCTGCCAACAGTCTTGTTGGGGCTTAGAACCTGTTACAAGGAAGACCTGAAGGCGTCACCGGCAGAATACCTATACGGAACAACACTCCGAGTGCCAGGCGAATTTTTCTCAGATGGAGATCCGCCAGTGGATTCGCAGGTTTTCCTCAAGGATTTCCGATCCCACATGAGAAAAATCAGACCAGCGCCCACTGCTCACCACTGCCGACAGAAAACCTTTTGCTTCAAAGAATTGGCTACATGCACACACGTATTTCTGAGAGTTGACGCAACCAAGCGACCCCTAGACCAACCGTATTCAGGCCCGCACAAAGTCATCAAAAGGTTCGACGAGCGGGTTTTCACAATTGAGGTAAACGGCAGGGAAACGAATGTAAGCATCGAGCGCCTTAAACCAGCCCATTTGGCCAGCGACGAGGTTTTCGACAGTACACCCCACAGACGTGTTCTCATCAAACCTAAGAACCCGCAGCAGCCTTACACATCAACGAGTCTGCCCATACAACAAAGTAGGAGCAACACTACGACAGCGCAAAGTTCGGGATTTTCAACTCGACCTTAGGGGTTCCCACCTAAGGCCTTCATTTGGGGGGAGTAGTGTGGGAACTTAGCATTAAAGCATCGCATCTGGCAGCACTGTTTTCAGTTTTCATTATTTGATATTCGTTCTTTAGGCCCGTCCACATAGAACTTTGGCGTTGCGTTGGCGTTGGCGTCGCTTCAACAGCTGACTATGAATACATGAATTCAAATGCAGCCGTCCACATAGCCAAAATTCGACAACGCTCACGCCAACACAAAGCAAAAAGATGGCCAACTCTCATCTTTTCGCGTGCGTCGCTCGTCAGCTGTTGCAAATAAATAAAATTATGTGAAATATTTTCCTTTTTAATCAAGTGCGGGCAAGAAATATCGTTTTTAATGCAATTATTGATATGAAATATTAATTTATCTGTCGCTAGTATGTTAATGTAGTGGCCCAAGCATTCGCTGCCAAGCGCTCATTGTAGCAAGCATACTTTTAACGTGCGTTCTGTCAAACCAACGCCAACGCCAAAGCCAACACGAAAGTTCTATGTGGACCGGCCTTTTGAGTTTTATCGTTTTACTTTTCGTGAGAGAGAACCTTCTAGAAGCTTCTACTTGCAGCACGCACCAAAAGTGTTCTTTAGTTTTTGCTAAGCATTAAATTTGTGAGTTAATAAAGATAGTTAAGTTTTATTATATCTATATGTGGAGTTTTATTACCCCCACAATAGCAAATTAACGAAAAATAAACACAACAAACGTTGTGCTTATTAAATTTACTCACTTTTTCGTTGTATACTAGCATTAATAATAAAATTTGCAATAAATAACTCAAAAAGGCCATATTTTCTTTTGTTTATTTTCAAACATGTGTTTGTGATCAGCTGATTTTCTTACTTGCAAGTTTTAGCTGGGAAAATTTTTCCAGCAGAAATTTGCAGCTATCTTTCACATTTTGATCTCTCAATTTCCCCTACTTTGCAAGTTTTTTGGGTACGAGAACGCAAAACCAGTAAAAGTTTTCTAAAACTTTAGATAGTAGTAGAGCGTACGAGTACACTCCTATTAATGTAGTTGTTTTATTGCACTGCTGGCAGTTGCTGTGACAATATTTTGAAATTCAGTCAATAGTTTTCAAAATATAAGCTTTTGAAAATGTTGGAAATTTTTTTTTGAACCCCCCCTAGCGCCGCCCCTGTCAATTTACACCAAAAAAAAGTTTACCATTAAACTCAGCAGAAAGGGGTGCACCACGTCCACGTTTTCTTTTTTCTCTAACTCAAGGGTCGGTATTCTTTAGGTATGCCGATAATTTTGAGTAATGTGTTCGGATTTTGAGGATTTTACGTTTGTTTTTGAGGAATTTGGTAATAATTTTGTGGCAACACTGCTCCGTTTACCATTTCTAATCGATAATTCATGCTGATAAATCGATGTTTCGCTCCCATCTATTTTAATGTTTACGCATTTTTATTTTGATCTTTTTTGACGTAGTTATATTTCGCTCAGTGAGTAAAAGTCGCTAGAAATTATTTCGTGTAAATTGGAGCTTAAATAACCAATTAAACACTACAAAATTTTCCAAAAATGAGTTCGGGTGCCATTCGTGCGCCTGTTTCACAGCTCATTCATAACAAGGATGATGATGTTGAGAGCGAAGAGCCAAAGAAGAAATCACGCGAGGATTGGCGTAAAGCCAAAGAGTTGGAAGAAGCGCGAAAAGCAGGTACAGCGCCAGCAGCTGTGGACGAAGAAGGACGAGATATCAATCCGCACATACCACAGTATATTTCCAATGCTCCCTGGTACTACAACGCCCAAGGCCCAACTTTAAAACATCAGCGACCGCAAAAAGAGGATGAGCAAGGACAGCTTGAGAAGCGTGCACCCAAAGGCCTAGATATCACGAAAATAGTAACAAAGTACAGAAAAGGTGCCTGCGAAAATTGTGGTGCAATGACGCATAAAAAAAAAGATTGCTTGGAGCGCCCACGCAAAGTATTGGCTAAATATGCCGAGTCAATTGTCGTGCATGACGAGCATGTTGTGCAGGACACAGCAGTCAATTATGATGAGAAGCGTGATCGGTGGAGCTCATATGATCCAGCAAATCATAAAGAAATTATAGATGAATACGAAAAAGTGGAAGAAGCCAAGCGGCAGTTAAAAGCTGAGAAGCTAAAGAATAGTAAGCTATTAAATATTTTCGGCAAAATTAAATTGTATTAGCCAATTTTTATTTTACAGATCCCGATGTAGAACTCTCCGATGATAATGACAATGAGGACAAATATGTGGATGAAGTAGACATGCCTGGTACCAAAGTTGATTCGAAACAGCGCATTACGGTGCGTAATTTGCGTATACGTGAAGATACAGCAAAATATTTGCGTAATTTGGATCCGAACTCTGCATACTACGACCCCAAAACGCGTTCTATGCGTGACAATCCGAATCCAAACATGGCACCGGAAGAGTAAGTGAAGTAAATTAGTTTAAAAAAAGTTATGTGTATTTTAAATTTTTATTTAAAGGGTGGAATTTGCGGGGGAAAATTTTGTGCGATTCTCAGGGGACACTACAAAACACGCTACGGCACAATTGTTCGCTTGGGAGGCGCATGGAAAAGGCGTCGACGTGCATTTACTAGCTGAACCAACAAAATTGGAACTACTGCAAAAAGAGTACGACAAGAAAAAAGAGCAATTCAAGTCCAGTGTGAGTAAAAATGGAATGTTTCCTATTTTTTTTTTTTTCAAACGCCTTCATTTTTTTATTAGACAAAAGAACACATTGTCGAAAAATACGGAGGCGAAGAGCACTTGAATGCACCTCCAAAATCCTTGCTGTTAGCTCAAACGGAAGAGTACATTGAATACTCCCGGAGTGGCAAGGTCATAAAAGGCATGGAGAAGCCAAAGGCCCGTAGTGTTTATGAAGAAGATGTTATGATCAATAATCATACAACTGTCTGGGGTAGTTACTGGAATGGCGGACGATGGGGTTACAAGTGCTGCAAGTCGTTTATTAAAGTAAATTAATTTCAATTCAGCAATATTTTTTCAACGGCGTACATAATCTCTTTTGCACTTGCAGAATTCATACTGCATTGGAATGAAAGATCCGGAAACAGCGGTCGATCTTCTACACCCTGTCGCGAGTACTAGTAGTACAATCGAAAACGAAACAGCAGTGAGATCGTCTGGAGAAGAGGAGCCAAAGGAATCGTCGTCGTCGTCGTCGACGTCCTCATCCTCTTCTTCCTCATCTTCATCAACGTCGTCTTCTTCTTCGTCGTCATCATCGGAAGATGAAGAGGTTAGACAACTTGAAAACAAAAAGGCAAAGAAAAAAACCAAAAAACGGGAAATGAAACTGAAGGCCAAACAACAAAAGCGAAAAGATAGAAAAGAAAAAATGCTGCGTGCCAAAGAAAAAGCACAATTGGAAGCGGCGCTGCGTGATATACGCGCCAAGTCGAATGAGGAAGACGATCCCAAGGATGAACGCAAACGTGGCTATAATAGCAAGTACGATATTAAAGCACCCACAGAAGAGGAAATCGATGAATGGCAACGCAAACGACAGCGCACCGATGATCCAATGTTGCAGTTTATTTCACAATGAAGTTTTAAGCTATATATTTAATAAGATTCCTATGTTGTGTTATTTAATAAGAACTTTTAATTTTTTCCAACTACCTAGAACTTAATAATTAAACAATGGCGTATTGATCATACAGTAATTCCCTAATTTTGTAATATTCTTCGGAGAGACAGCCCTCCATTGTTACTTTGCCCGCATCCATGCGCCGCAGTGCCAGAGTACCATTTGCGCACCACAGCACGCCACCTGAAAATTCTGAGCTGATGTTGTTTCGCATGAGCACTTGCTTGAAGTCGGATAGCTTAAGTTCGTTAATTAACACAGCGTTGTGCACCGGTATTTCATCGGTTTCCAAGGTTTCGAGTGTGAGCGTCTTATCCTCGGAAACTACCACGTCCATATTATCAACGTCATTCCGTGAGGTCGTGTCAATAGCTTGCGTTCGCACGCCAATGCGTGCATCCACCCAGGCAACCTCGGCATCCTTGCCTTTTTGGAATTGTAGTTGAGCAACGAGTCCCTCGGTTAAGCGGACCTGATAGATGTGAGACTCGGTGGTGGCATCAATAGTCTGCGAAAATGGAATCAAAAGTTAAAATCATATTAGGTGTAATAAAGTTGATGGTTTCAACCTCACCTCTCCCTTCTGTGGAGTAAAAACACGAGCGCCTATATTTTGTTGGCAGTGCTTCGCTACAACGCTAGTGGCATCCTCTGTACCATGCACCACGATGACACGTCTGGGACGCAGTTGTGAGAGAATTTTCAGCATCGATTCGCCATCAGAGCGGCCCTCAAAATCAATTCGCTGAATTTGTGCGTTGATTTCAATAGTTTTTCGTTGGCTGGTACATTTTGTAGGCTTCTCTAGCAATTGAACATCTGTGGGAAAATATTAATTTTACTTTGCTCTAATTGAAAAATTTTATTCGCGTAACTACCATTAGTGCTCGCTTTACTCTCCTTCGGCTCCTCTTTCTTTATATTTTCTTTGTTGTGTTCATCTATCGTTGCTTCAAAACCTACATCCGAAATGCGATAATCTTCCAAATTAATTATTTCACCATATTCATCACATTTTATTTTTTCTTCGTGGAAAGGAAACATGGCATAGTGTTTTTTGTTGGATTTGAAGAATCCGCTGTGATGCCTTCCCTCTGGTCGCACAACGATGTCATGCTTGCCGGTGATGACACTCATTTCAATGTCATCATCAGAATCAGAGCTGCTTTCCTCTTCCACATCCTGCTTGACAATTAAGCGGTTGAGCTTTTCGCCTTGAGTGCGGAGGTATTCTTCTAATTCAGCACCCTCCAGCTCGACGCGGCGGCGAACGTCTAGCTCCAATTTTCTTCCAGGCGAAGCATTCTCTATCAAATCCATCGCTAATGTGCCGTGTGATGTCCTAACAACCACATACATATGTAGGTGTATACATAAATATTGATTAATGTAGGAATATAATTACTTCTTTTTTTGCGAGCTATCTTACCTAGATGTCATTATAATACTATTAAGGGGATTTGCCGCCCACTGCACAAACAATTCACGTGTAAACCCGCATTCTAAGTCTGGTGTGCTGGCAAGCACTACCTTAGGACTAGGCATTTTGGAGAGCTCCGCCAAATTGTGACATAGCTGCATATGACGGAATTGAAATGGATTGTTGCGTGCCCCTTCGAAAGTCTTCATTAGCTTATCGCTCATCCATTCAATTTGGGATTTAGCAAATTCGATCACATTGTAACTAACGTTATTCAACATAGCCAGAGAGTATGCCATCAAACCAGACTCCTTGTTTTTCCAAAGTTGATCGAGCATGTGTGCCAACTCCAGCACTCGACCCGCTGTATCAACCGCAATCAGCACATTGCCATTATTGCGTACCGTCTGGAGAATATTGGTCATCAGCTTTTCATCGCGTGCACGACGTCGCGCCTGTTGATATTGTGCATTGTAGGCGTCGGTGATTAGAAGTGAAGGACGCTGGAGACGCTCCAGTTCACAACCATTAAGATGGCGTTCTTTTTTATGATTGAAATCTGTGGCATATACAATATCTTCTTCGCCCACTTTGAGAATTTTCCAAATAGTACCGCCTATCATATGCCCCGCAGGAAGTGGAGTTACTGTGATGCCGTAGCCTTTGCCTAAAATGTGATGCAAAAAGGTATGTTTTATTAACATATATAAGTGTGTATATTCTATCCGTAATGAAATTAATTAGCATAGCCTCACCTTTTAGTGACACTGTTTGATTGTATTTAAGTTGTATAATTTTGTCGAATGCTGCATCCACATCATCTAGTGAAAATAAATCGAAATCGTACATGTTATAATGCGACATATAAAGGTCGTACATAAACATTTGTCCCATTTTATACACTGGGATCGTAGCGTAGATTGGGCAATTCATGCTGAGTTTTCCAACGAGATAGGGTAGCGCACCCAAATGGTAGACATCTGGATGTGACAAAAGCACTGCGTCGATGGTATGTACATGTCTGTGAACAATTAAAGATGCTTTTTTTTATGTTTTATATATACTCATCCTGATTACTACCTTTTTAACTCCTTGATAAGATTGGGATCGAACTTCTCGTCCCACCCACAGTCGAGTAGAATCCGCACTTCATCTATTTGCAGAATATAGCAGGGAGGCGATTCATCCATGGCACCAGATATCGTGTGCAGTTTTATTATCGACGTCATCGCGTTATAACTTAATTTAATATTGCGACCGTTTTTGTTATTTGGTAGAAACTCTTATTTCAATCGGCCGGCTGGAACTTGTGCGCGTTCCTTGATGTACCCTGATTTCTTAAAAAATTAGGTGCATATTTGTTAATTTTTTATTTTAAGAGTTGGCAACCTAGTGCAACAGCTGTCAGTTGCTATAATCACTACAAGGGTACACGATCCAGCAAAAACGACCTAACGCATTCTCCAATACACTTACAAAATTGTCAATAAAAACCAACAAATTTGCATATTAGCGATATCCATATGCCATTCGTTACGTTATATAACACGTTATTAATCGCATAATAATATTTGATTGAAAAGAGACAACTACATATAGTATAATATAATAGCGAATTCCATGTGAAAGAAAGAGAAAACTACTCACACTTGAAACGATTATGCGTTAGATTTCTCCGGAGGCCTATGTAAAATGATGGAAAGTTTTTGAATTTCTCACACAAACTTTTTGTAGTACTAGGCGTATATAACGCATTAGTTAACAGATAGGGTTCTTACTGGGCGGATATCCATAGCATGCGTATACTTATGTGTGCGTGCGATAGAAAATTTAATAAAAAAAATTAAGGCAGCACCAAAGAACGTAGCTTTACGTGACATTTATAACTTTGCCAGCAAAGCGCAAGACGCAAAAGGTATGCCACAATGAACGCCAAGAAAACAGTTTTGTACTGCTTTTTTACTCGTCAAAATTGCTGTGTATTTTATGTATTTTTTTTTTGTTTTATATATCAGCAATGTAATCAAGTTTTATGTTTCTACATGAAAACTCAAATTTAGACGAAACGAAAAAAGTACTAAACCGGCTGACTGTCAAAGCGCACAAAATATAGGAGTTGGCCTTCTTTTCGCTTCACGCTGAAGCTTCGACGATCTACGTGGCATGCTTTGTGCATTTTTATACAA